ATCAGAGACGGCTTCGTCCAGAGATTGACGGCCGGAGGCCCCGGTGAGCTTGGACGCCTGTAAAGCCCGGTAGGTCTGGGCTTTGTTTGACATGCCTGGGAGGTGTCTTCTAGTTCTGCCTTGCCTGTATCTGGCATCTCGTATCGATGATGAATGGCCTTCACCTCGGCGTCAATACAGGCACGGCACTGCTTTCTTGTGCGGAAGTCGCTTCGCCTGGGAGCTCCAGCCGTGAATCCGTGACTTTGGGGCTACGTGCCCTTTTGGTGCTCATTATCTTGATGGATTCACGGCTGATGGAGTCGCGGATTGGCAGGAGGCGTCGCAGTGGATGCAGGGCTCCCCTGATGAGGCTCTTGACAGCATCGCAACATGGTCGAGAGCATATGAATCGGTCCAGGGTGTCCTCTGCGCCCAAATTTCTCTTTCTGAACGACCTACGCTTGCAGCACAGGGAGCACTCCGTCCCCACAACCCGGTTAGTCTTCATGCTTCAGTTGCGTGTGTTGTGCTTGAGTTGTGCTCTGGTACACGATCGGCCATCGGACCGTGCTGGGGGGTATGCTACCTGGCGCGGGACGGCAAACGTTTTTGTAGTGGTGGGGAAATGACCCAAATCCGGCCCTGGCATTTCCCCATTGAAGGTCTCAACAGGGACCCAGGACGCCGACCCATATCCAGGGCGACAATCTACATATATCTCTGGCCCTGCATCAGTTGGATTGCTACATGGCCACAAGCACTCCATCATTACATACGGTGCAACACTGGAGCATCTCAGAATGAAGCCCCGCAGTCCTACAATGTGGCTGGGGCTCAGTGGCTGTGAGAACAACTACGATCTCATAGTCTCGAATCGGCTTCGTCTCGTCACAAGCCATCTGCCGCGACCAGACACGCAACGGCCGAGCCTGGTTGTGCTGGTTGGCGGCAGAGCCAAGTCGATTGCGCTCCATGCCATGTTCGGTGTGAGGATCGCGCAGCCCGCGACTGGGTCGCCAGGATCGAATGAGATCCACTTGCATCTAGCTCCACAGACCAGCTTTCATGAGAGGCCTGTATTGCTAGCCGAAGGCCATCTATACAATAGTCATGCCAGGGTAGTGCCCACAACCTGTCCACAGGACGCCAGAAGACAGGCCATCATTTGGACGGCCCAGTCAGGTATGGAGCGTCGCGTTACTGGTGAGCTGTACTGTCGTCTCCTGGCCCCCTTTGCCGACGTTTTCTGCTTTTTCTGTGATGACCTCGACGGCGGTCTGGAGGGCGTTGCTCGCCACCTGGCGACATGGCTGGACCATGGCCCCCAAGCCCAGAACCCTGCAAACGCGCACCCAAAGATCGTAGTCGTAAGCTCCACCGTCCTTCATGGTGTCCAAGGTGAAGCCAAGGCAAAGACAGACCTGTTGGCGATGTTGGAGAAGGAGACGAGAAGAGAGACATCGAACTTGTCCGCCTACATCAGTTTCGTTACTGTCCTGCCCCACACCAGTGTGTCTGCTACCGCCCGCTACAGGGCGTTGAAGGAGCGCATCATGAGAATCTCGGATGACGTGCGGCAGAGCAGAGTGGATGCACGATGTTTGTTCTCGGCCACGCATGTCGCTGCATTGCTGGACGGTGCTTGCGACCACTTTGCAAGTGCTTCCGATTTACCTTTCGACCTTGTCCAAGAGTCGAGACGCCGCAACCCAGTTCCAGAAAACCTTGAAAGCCATGTCACAGAGTTTGTCGGCCGGGGCACGCCGCAGACGGAGCTCGTTACTTTTGCGATGCCCGTCATCGGATCGAGCCTGTTTCTAGACGCCTACCCGCCGGGCGCACATCGTACGTGGCTCCGTGGGAATGAGGCCACGAAGTATTGCAGCTGATTCTGATGTAGTCTTTGATCCTGTCGACGTCTTTGAGGGGCTCTACAGTGACATGCTCAACAGGGCGTTTTCCAACGAGTCCATGCCTCTCGGTAGGGATGGCAGCACATGCATGCCGAGCGATGGGCTCATCCAACTCGTCAAAGCTCACTTCGTAGGATGCTTCAGCGAACTCGCTCGACATTCCGGTTCCGCTTCGGACATCCACCTACGCTTGCTCCGGAGATTCAAATCCCACTGGCTCCGGATCCATAGCACTCGCCTCTGCCTCTCCTGCCTGTCACACGTGCCTCAGTACGGCCTCTCCTGCGGACACGTTCATTGTGAGGCTTGCGTATGGGACTACGGCAGGCCATCTGATGAGGACCCATGGGTCACGCTGTATGGTCAATGTCATCTCTGCGACACCCTGCTGAGTGAGGAGGCTGTCATCCGAAGGCATCCACCAACAGCCGGCGTGGGAGTGTTTTGCCTCGACGGTGGCGGGGTCCGAGGGATCGTGTCGCTAGAGATCTTGAAGCGCATCCACGAGGCTATCAAGCTTCCAATCCCGTTGACTCGGTTCATCAAAATCTTTTTCGGCATCAGTTCTGGTGAATGCTTCCGTCAGACGCGTCGGTACCTGACTAACACGGTCTAGGCGGCCTCATCACGGCCGAGCTATGTCTCAACGGGTCATCGATAGACCAAGCCATCCAGCGGTTCGGCATCTTAGCAAAACAGGTCTTTCATCGTCGCCGAGGCGTCAGGATTCCTTTCCTGCCCTCGCTCCTGAGGCGATGGATTGACCATGGCCTCCGCTACTTTTTTCCCTTCCCTCAACTTGCACAGCTCATCAACATTCTGCTATGTCTTTTTGCGGATGGGCTCTATTCCCCCACGAACATAGAAGAGGCGCTTCGAGTGACATATCATACCAGGGGTTTGTTGGACGTGTCTCATTCGAGCGCCACTGGTACACACGTAGGCCTGCCCGTTGCCACGATTGACAAGAAGCCGCTAGAGAGGATCTTCACCAACTACAATGGCGTGGGCAAGAGACCTCGCAATCAAGGTAAACGCCCCAAGACGCGGGATTCTCTCCG